GTTTTGCCCCCCCCCACGAAAATTTTCTGCAGATGTGCACGATTGCATAAAAATTATGTAAAAATTTAATCGTGTTAATGATATACTTACGCTGTTAATTTTTAAATATTCTTAAATAAATAAATTTAAATAAAACCAATGTGTATAACAATCTTTAAAATAATCAATTGTCCTAAAAGTACCAAGGACACTGAATTTAGTCTATAAGTATGATTTGTTATTGTTGTGACAGATAAAATTTTTATAAAACTAAGGTATGTAATAAATTTATAAGGAATATAATTCTTTAGATTACGATATAATTTGCTAGATAAAAAATAATTCTATTTAAATTAAAAATGTCATATAAATTTACTGTTTTCTTTCATCCTAAAAATTAAATTTGGAATTTAATAAGATACACCAATAAATAACGTCATAAACAAATAAGAAAGATAATGAATGCACACAATTTTTTCTCCAAAATTAATTTAAAATTAAAATTAAAATAAATAAAATTTTAATAGAGCGGGAAAAAATTGTCATCTAGATTGGAGGGGTTTATTATTGTAAACAGTAATACAATTTTCCACATTAAAATTTTTTATTCAATTTTTTTAACGTTACAAATTTATAAAATTTTTAAAAAATGAAAATATTTTTATATAAATAATGCTTTAGGGATATTAAAACATATATTTTATATATTTGTTTCCTCGTTCTTGTGACAATTTTCACTAGCTACAGTTGGAATTGTTCCTAAACAAACATAATTTGATATGAACCATGTTCAATGGGATTAAATCATAGTTCAAGGCCAGTTCACGGTTCTTAAAAACTCGCATGTCTTATGTTCGATTAAGCATTTATGTTAAGAAACATGCATTTATTTATATAAAACTGACGTTTCGGGTTAATTTTCTTGTATTTATTTAGATCTCCTCTTTTCCTAACTTTTCCCCATCCTCACCCCTACTTCCTCCTCTCCCTCTCACCTCTACTCTTCACCAAGGCAATATCTTTTGGTAAGCTTTACTATTCAATCACTGTATCACTGTATTTATTTAGAAAAACTTACTGAAAATCACAGGTATTCCGATATTCCGATTGTTTTTGGTGTCTACAACTTACTCATTTGTATAAATGAATTATAATCACGCTAATTTATGTATTAAAGTTAAAATTAAAATAACATCCCCGAACTTCTATGTTATTGAAAGTAAGGAATTTCTCCCGTTTGCTCTGCTTTTCTTTAATCTTCAGTTACCTAAAGAATTTGACTTGATTCCTAGAGTAATAGATTGAAAGAAAGTGCCGCTTTCTTCTTTTTTTCATTCTACACTCGAAGAACAGTGAAAATAGTAGAAACTCAGAATTCCAATGGAATGTTAATTGCGAAAGGAAGAACGGTGCAATCATTCAAACATGAATGGGGTTCTGTGTATTGATGGAAATAAAGTAAAATCGAAAGAATGAAACTAGACTAAGGTTACTATTCAAATATGGATTACTTGAGATGTTTGAAAGACGTGAAAAAAACCAAGAAGTTGAATTACATTTGTAGTAGAGAAGTGTATTTCCGAATACTTTCTGGTTTTTGATGGATAAAATTTACAAACGATTGCTGCAACAGACAAGAATAAAATATAAAAATTTCGAGGGATATGCTTAAAAAATTCTTTCTTACTAACTTACATATGTACAACTTCTTAAATCACTACAAATATTAATTATAACTTTTAAAATATTTTTAAAAAGTTATTTTTATTAATCTTTTTCAAATTAAATTAACTTATACTTAAATTGTACGAAAATAATTAAAATATAGGCCTACAATTATATTTTTTATGTTTTTAAGTGTCCTGTTTACTCGTTTGATTCAAATTAATTAACGAACTTTAGCACGTCGTGAATTTTATTTTTCGAATTTTAATGCATCGGTAATTTAAATAGATTCTAATGAAAATGGCCAGATATTTTTTAATTATTAGGTACCTTTTATGTTACAACTTTTTAATTTTGAATTCTGGGAATATTTTCATTCTGAACTCTTATAAAATACGTTCTAGAGTCAATATTCCCTCAAGAAAACATTCACTTATTTGAAAACAGAGCAAATTCTTTTAATAAAAGAACCAGATTTAACTACAGCAAAGAAAAGATGCTCAACAAATATTTTAATAAATTGTTTAAAATTCTGAATTTTTATTTTAAATTTTTACATAATGAAGATACCTCCAGGAAGCATTTGTCTGCTTGAAAACACAGAACATTCGTCTAATAAAACAATTATGTTTAAGTATAACAAAAGAAAATAAATTCGGAAATGAGTTGCGTAACTTTCCCGACAAAAAAGTTTAAAATTATGGTAGCGCCACCTTTTTTTTATATCTCATTAAAATATTTTTTTATATTATAAATTATTTTAAAATGAAAAAAACGCTTAATTTTGAGAGTAGGGATAAGTTTTACTTTTTAAAAAATGTAAACGGTAATAACGAGTAAAATCTTCATTAAGTCTCTCTAGGTATGACATTTGACCCCCCCCTCTATTTCCCAACCCCTCCATCTTTAACCACGAAAATTTAACAGCATCAATATCCCCAATACACATATCTCCCTGCAAAATTTCAGAAATTTTGGACAAAAGGCACAGGAGTTATTAAGCTTCAAATTGGGCGAATAAAATCGTGTCCCCCACACATAGCATCCATATATATGGATAAAAAGCCTAATTTTTGCATTTCTCGACGTTTCAGGGTTTTCTGAGTCCAAAATAAAACTCTTGGAGGTCACTTTTGACCGATCGCCCTACTTTCTCTATATTTTATCTAACAGCCAGGAAAGTAATATACATAAGAAATATAGTAATAAAATACCCATTAATTTATGCCCACGAACAACAATATATTGTTACATTTGATTAATTATTATAAATAAAAAATATATTTAAAAAATTTATTAAAGCAACGATTGTGAATTTGAAGAATGTCATAGAATTTATTCTACTTTCAATATTTAATTTGCTTCGTCTACCAATGATTTGATTTGATAGAGAAGAAATCAAATTAATATAAATTTCCATATAAATAATTTTCATACATACTGAAATATTATTTATATTACTTTTTGAATTTAATTTCTTTAAATATTTCTGTCTGAATTCTAATTTAATTTACTGTTCAAAAAATAGAAGAAAAAATTTTGTCGGAAATTATTATAATTCTTGATTAGAAATATGCAAGAAAATTGATTTTTTTAACTTTAATATTTATTTTTAATATTTTAAAGCTTTTTAAACATATTTTACTATTAACTAGGCAATAAAATGCTTCATTAACGTTGCAACGATATTAATAATCTCATTTAGTGTTAATGAACATTTTAATTTTTAATTATTTTCTACTTTTATAGACAAATTTCGATGCTGTCGAGTATTATAAATTAATTTTCTTTTTATTTTTAAAATTATTTATAAAGGAAACAAATTAGATTATTTATTATTTTATTTTTTACTAAAGTTTTTTTTGTATAGAATTTTACACTGAGTTAAATGACAAAGCATCCATCACATAGATGGGTTTATTCTTCGGGGAAAAATATCGCATTAAATCCTAACACGAGCGGATATTTAATTTACACAAGCAAATTATACGTCAGGATATTTGATTAGATTATTTTTATTATATATTTAATTAAAATTCACTTTATAATATGTTTATAAAATGAATTTATTCATCTGTCATCTATAAAGTTATTTGTTATAACAACTTATATTTAGAATATTTGAAAGGTTCTATTGAATTTTACTATATTATAAAATGGAATTATATGTAGTAGAGTCTCGATTATCCGGTATAACGATAACTGAAAGACAAAAAGGTAAGGATAATGAGTTGTATTTGGAAAATAGATTGCTGGATAGCTTCGATATTGGAGTAAAATCCGTATGAAAATCTTTATTTATTTATTTTCAACCCTACTGTAATATGTGATTTTAAGGAAACAGGTGTAGTGCAGATGGCCACACAGGTCTCTATGAGGAGTTAAATAATTGGAGATGGAGAACGACACTACTTGATTCTACAGTCAAAAATATTCGAATTTGATAATATCTGGTATTAAAAAATACAAGATTGAATAATAAGCAAGGCTGGATAAGCTTTATTGTAATTTATACAGCAACGTTCCGATTATCCAGTCCTTGGTGTTAATTAAATACCTTCATGAAATACAAATTATGTTAGAAGGAAATGTTCATGTTTATAATGAAATTATATCTCTTAAAATTATATTTATTTGTTTTATTAAAATAACGTTATTTAATTATTGTGCAGAATATAAAAAAAACATATCTGAAAGAAAAAAATATCAATAAATTGGACTAGAAAGCAGAAAAAAATGAAAGTTTTAAAGTTCGTTATCCGACTTTTTAACTAGATTATTCCCTCGCCANGCACATCTTAATATAGTTCAGACATTTATTTTGAGATTGTTACAATGTTTTATATTGATTAATGTATATTTCTTTTGTGTATATAAATATAAATCTCCAACACTAATAGTTTTCATACGAAGAAGTTTACATATTCATATATTTGCCCGCTAATTTTTTCATGCATACAGATATAATACATATAGAGAACTTTATGTATATATGTTCAGAAGATTATTTTTTGCAGAATTTGCAAAATTTGTCTGCTTACCTACTTTAGCAGGTAAGGAAACAAACGAAAATCGATCTGATTATACCAAAGTATCAATAAATTAGATTTTAATTTAAGAAAAAAATTCAGATTTATTCGTTTTCGTGTCATATAAACATTGCCATTTTGACAAGAAGAGCTTTTAACTGCCAATATAAATTTGGCAGGAAACCAAGAAACCTCTAACATCTGTTATGCACGAATAACTTAGGCAGACTTAACCTGCTTTATTTTCAATTAAAAGGTTTTTTCACGAAAGTAGAGTGATTTTCAATTTATTTTTCAAACTTTAAAAAGACGTTAAATCTATAATATTCACTATTCTTAATTGTTTAATATTTTATGGCTGGATATTATGCAAAAACCAGATTGGGTGTCTTCATATTAATTATAATTTGTCACTTCTATAGAAGTGTAAAACCTGAGAGGAAAAAAAATTGTCATTTTAATGAATATTTTATATAAAAATATTGTATCGTTAGAATAATAATTAACACTAGAGGCGAGAATTCAAATACTTAAAAAGACGATGGTACAATTTTAATGTGGCTAATTAGCTATTTATTAAGGAGATGTATTTAATATACTTTACAAATTAAAAAATAAATTGTGAAGTTTTTAATGAAAATTTAAGCTTTTCACTTAATTAAATCTTAATTACTTTAAAGAAAACAGATAAGCTGAAGGTTAATTTTTCTGTACATAAAAACAAAGATTCAAATTGTCGTATCTTAATAAATTTTTTCTCGAAATTTTCGATAATTTATAAAAAGCTTCTTTATCCATTTAGTTAATTACTTCATTAATATTTAATTTTATTCGATTCGTACTTCATCGCCTCTTCTTTAATCTTTAACATAACGTAAATTTCAATAACTTTATAACAAATTTCCTTTATAATAATGTTTATAAGCATAATTTCTTCATTTTCTTTAATAAATTTTTCTCCTTCAAAATTCTTAGCGTAATTTCAATAACCGGTAAGCAATTTCAAACTGCTTTAAAAAATTGATTTTTCTCGACCCCGTCTCCCATTTTTAAAGTAATAACATATTTTTTTATGTTAAAAAACTGTCTTCACCACTTTATAAAGTGATATTTTGAAATAAAGTAATATTTATGAACGAATTTGGAGTACAAGTTAAGTCAATAAGTTCGGTTAGTAAAAACCAAAAAAAAAAAAAATTGGCACATATTTGGGGTTAGCTACCTCTATCTCAGTAAATCTCAGCTTTCATTTCAATTTGTAACTGTTCTAAATTTTCATTTCTTCGTTTTAGAAACCAATAATTTATGTTTTTAAACCTATTTTGTTTTACATAATTTATTTTTTTAATATTAAGGACAATTAAGAAAAATTTCAATCACGATTACAATACATGAGAACATCATTTAATTCTAGTTTTCGTTCTATGTAATATTAACAGTTTATTGGCTTATAAGTTTAGTTTTTTATTATTATTTCTTGTTATTTTTATCTTATTTATTGCCACTTTAATTTTATTATTAAAGTTTAGATTTTTAACGATGTAAACATTATTTCTATTTTCAATTTTAATCGACTTCTCCTTAAACTTTCTTTCTTTTTTTCTTTTTAAATTGAATTTTTCTGTTTAAATTTAGATTTGTCTTTTTGCACCTTTTAATCTAAATATAGCCGTGTCAAAATCATTAAATGATTATTTAAATTATATCATTTCCTCTTACAACTTTTACATGTTACAACATTTAAACACGCCCGTCTTTATTTAGAGACTGCCAACAATTCTAAATTCTCCTCCTCGCGTCATTCAGGATACAAGGTCGAGAACCTCCTTTTCTTCATTACTTGCTTGCAAGCGATACCAAATTGGCATAACCCCAATTACTATCAAGAATATACCAATCTAAAATTCAAATAAGTTCTTGTGTATTTAAAATATATATATATTTATTTATTTATTTTCTTCGACATTAAAAACGTCCCTATTAAAATTCTTGATTCTGGCTACTCTTCAAATATAGATTTTTCTGTTGGGTTATATCCAAAATCTGTGATAATCAAAAGTATTAATCTCTTTAATAGGAAAATCTGCATCATCTCTATCAACTGAATATCAGAATAATCATAATGGAATTGATAGCTGCTATAATTTTAGTAAAGGAAATGAAAAGGAACACGAATTTTTCTCACCACATTATCCAAATAACTATCCCAGTAATATTAGGTGTACACGTCAAATAAAAGGTAAAGATTTTCAATTGTTTAGTAGTAATTAACTGGATATAATTTAATTTAAAATATATTTTATTTTATTTTTCAGCCGAGCCCGGATATATAATCAAATTGCATTTTAGAGACCATTTTCATTTGGAAGACTCGGAAAATTGTGAATATGATTATTTGGAAATTCGCGAAGGACCACACGGGTATTCAACTGTAAAAGGCAAATACTGCGGTAACACATTCCCTAAAGAGATCACATCAAAGGGACAGTATCTATGGTTAGAGTTTCGTTCCGACGATAGCATCGAGTACAAAGGATTTAAAGTTTATTATGAATTCTATGAGGCTAAAGGTAAAACAAATGTTCATAATTCCAAACCAATTAAAATCCCTTAGATGATTCTGATTTATCAAACAGTTTCTGGATTGTGATAATTCGTCAAAACTGAGAAATATGATGACAATTACATAATCAAATAGTTTTTTTAAAAAAAACCAGTAATTAAGTAATACTCAAGTTTAAATTGAAAAGGGACAATTTTTCGATTTTTTTTTTTATTTTTTAAATTAAACAATATAATACTCCAAATACAACACTTAAAAATACAGCACTCCCCATATAGTTAAGGAAAATAAATTTTTAAAAGTATCGGTTGTTTTTAAATGTTTAAACTAAAAAAAATTGATATTTTCTGTGTGGGGAGTGTCGTACTTTAGAAATGACAGACCTATTCCATTTTTATTTATTTTTTATTGAAGTGCACTAGAATAACTTTTCAGTCGTTTGTCGATTTATATTTTGTCAACGCCGTTCAAAATTCACTTTATAAATAGCAGTCTTGTTAAAGCTTTGTGTTACATGTCTAAAATTGTCAAATTTTATAGTGTAAATGTTTTAATAGGCAAGATAATATTTATTTTAAAAATAGCTTCGCGTCACGCTATTTTACAAAGAGGTTATTTAACTTAAAACTTTTTAAATTCATTTCCTATAATTTTTATTATCTACATTGCGTATGCATTCAAATTCAATTTATAGAATTAAAATTAGTGTTATATATAATGATTATAAAATTCAGAAATAATGTATAAAAAAGGAAAATTTGAATTAATATTACGGAAATTATTGCATCAAAATATTTTAAATTATGAAGTGGTAGTTATTCATTTACGAATTTTAATAGAAAGTTTTTTATCCACATAAGTTAATTATGTACTGTACATGGGCGTCGAGAGATGTCACCAGTCCAGAGGGAATTTAGATGGGCCCCAAGTAAATAAATTATTTAAAAAATATAATGCAACTCTTCCAACACTGTTTTGGTTTCTTAATATACCTGAAACATCAAAAAAGTCTCTAGTTTATTAAATAGATTAATTAAGTGTACGAGGTATCTCTTGATCTCTGGAGGATTTGTATAAAGGCATACACACAAACTCAAGTTTACACATAAATGAATGGTATACAATAAAAATGTATATGTCAACATATAATAATAATCATACATTTATATATATTATTTTTCAGTATTCAAATAGAAATGGATATCGTAACGGTCTGTTTAATACAATTGGTTATATTCAACTACCCTGGTTCTTGATATAACATACTGTATATTATTCAAAGTTTTGTTATTCATTTGCACGAAACTCCAATATAAGTAAAATATTTTATTCAAAAGATTTACATATATTAGAATTTTACGCAAATGAATTATAGAGGAAATTTTCTCCATATTCTTACAGAGGAAAATAGTTTTGTTTTATTTTATTCTTCGACTGGTTAATCTTGGCTTTTGGAGATTCAGCTATAATATTTATGGCCAAATTGAAAAGTTTATACAGAGAAGACTAAATTACTGTCAGAAATATTACAAATTTTGAATTGCGCGATTGTAAATAATGAGAATATAAAAAGATAGATATAAGTGAGTATCAAACATGCACATTCATATATTAAAAATTTTCTGTATATCCTCGAAAAATTAAAATTTTTAAAATTATGTTCGTATTCATTTGAATTTTGATAGTTGTAGTTTTATCAATCCATCCAGTTACGAAAGAATTAGCGTAACTTTTGACGATAATTAATATAACAGTTAGGAAATGTAACGAGGTCCAGGGAATAATTGAGTAACGAAACGACATCCAGGATATAGCAAGGGATTATTTTTTAACGCATGACTTAAACTAATTACAATAACTATTAATTTTCATTGTCTGTAGTTATCATAACTATTTGGATTTTTGGGTTTTCAACCGTCTCTGCAATTATTATTATTATTATTTTTTTTTTTATTTTATATTTTCTCATCTTTTACTTTCTTTTTCCAACTAACAGAAAACATGTAAAATTAGTTTACAATAAACATAATGAGAGATATTTTTTGAAGTTTTGAAATAAAAAATTCAAGTAATAAAAAATAAACTTAAAAAATAAATTAATTGTGTGAAAGATAATGATGGTGGTGGTGGTGATGATGATGATGATAATTTTCTCAGAAGTTTAATGATTGAAAATAAATATCCAAATCCAGAGAAAGATTTATATTTTCACAAAGAATGGTACAAATTTTTCTGGGAAAATGTATGATTTTAAAAATGAAATTAAAAATACTTGGAAGTAAATTCCTTACAGAAACGTTGTAAATGTTTTTCTTAACAATTACGAATATGTTAACAAAAATAAGTTTTATGAGTCAATTGAATGACATTACAAACGATATTATTATAATAATTGTTATAAAAATGCTTGTAACTCAGCACTTTCTGCACGTTTCGAATAAAAATTATAATTATTATAACAATAATTGAAAAGATATTTAGGGAAAGCAGCTTAAATGTTATATATTTTTATACTATCAATTTATAAAAAAAATTTAAGATATTTACAATCAAATAGCAACTGAATGTACAATAACAAGTATGATATATCTTCCTTATAATTATGATTAGAATGTGAAAATAACGAATATTAACAAATACTTTCTGTAGTCACGAGCCTCACTGATACCTTCTTTTTAGTACATAGTGGTCTCAAAAAGTTAAGTGGCTCAGCCACTCTCAATTTATGAGGCTCTAAATAAAATTTTTTTAAGTTAATGAAAGTTATTCATAAATACATTCGTAACTAGAGTTAAGAAAAAGTTTCATGTGATTACTTCAACTTCTCCCAATACTTATAAATGTTAATTGATATCTTTACAGGCGGACTCCTGTAAAGATGTCTGTAACTTTTAATAGATACATGTTATAAAAAATGCTTTAAATGAAAATTTCTTGTCTTTTTTCATAGAATTCATAAATATACTCTTTTTTAGGATTCCATTGAAAATTTTAAATTATCCTCCTATCCCCTTATGAAAGAGGCGAGGAATGACATTTTTGTTATCGTTAAGAAAACCAAATGAAAAGGTTTTTCTGTCAAAAAAAACTTGGTAGAGCAAAAAACTTAAAGATACCCTGTCTTAGGCTTGTATAATTAGGGAATACATAATATGGTAACACTTAAAATTGCAGTTAACCTTACTTGTTTTCGTAAAAGAACAAATACCGCTATTGGATAAATCAATTTTTAAATTTGTCTTAATAGCTGTAAATACAATAACTGTTTATATTAATCATTATATTTAATTAGCGCTATATGCATCGATGCATAGTCTTTGTTTAAAATCCAATGAAACTTTAAGAAATTCGTGCGTTAATTTTTGTGGGATAAATTAATTTTAAAACTTTGATACAGATTGTGCTTATACTGAGCTGAAATGTGAGGTTTTAAAGTAGATAAAGGTAACAATAAAGGAGTTCTATTGAACGGTCCCTTTATACGTTAAAAAGCTGTTAAGATTTAAGTACTCAAAGTGGATGATTTTAACGAAAGATTCAAATTTTTGTGAGAACCAGATTCAACAAACAAAAACTCGGCCGAACAGCGGATAAAGACAGATGGCCCGTTATAACATATAAATATAGCCCTGACGATATGTTTAATCACGACGACACATTTTTACAGGTTATAAACAAAAACCATGCCATTGTACGGATGAAGATTTACAGTAAGGGACGAAAACAGTTGAAGGAAAGAATTACTGTTTCATTGTGCAGTAATATGACAGGAATTGAGAAAAGAAAATTGGCTGTCATTGGTTGAAGTAAAATCCCGCGAGCATTCAAAAATATTCGAACTCGTCCTTGCCACATACAAAACAACAAAAATACTTGAAGACTCAAGCGTTGTTTGGTGAATGATTTTGTCTGGAGAAAAAGAATTAGCGAGACAGAAAATTCTTCTAGTGATGGACAATTGCCCTGCTCATTTTTCTCCAAAAAATTTGAAATGAGAGTTGTGTCACTTGCCAGCTAATATAGCATCATTCATTCAATTCAACCAATGGAATAATCCACAATTTCAAAATTCGCTACAGAAGAATAATGATAAAAGAAATCGAAGAGCCTATTTCCAAAACGACTTATCTCCACGAAATAACCTTTTGAGAAAACAAGAAAAAATGCTGTCTTAGCTCATTTATCATTATTTTTTGTGCTTTTATGTGTGTTATCTACTAGTATTTGAAACTATGGCTTTAAAAAATCCAGCTCTGATAGAATTTGTTATTTTTAAAATGTTTAATTAGAGATAAGTCCTTTTGGCACAAACAGGTAGAGTCGAGTCGTTTTGCTTGCCACAGTAACAATAGAAAGTGACATCTTTTAACGAAATGTTATAATCAAATTCATCAAAAGTTAATTTGAGGAGATCTACTACTAGTTATGAAAAAAAAACAAAGATTTTTTAAAACAGTAATGTTAATATTATGTCTCTTGTCACCGAATTTTTTATATAATAGTACCTTTACGTAACTAAGAATAAATGACTAACGCTTCAAAATTTAATGTACTGTACTTTTATGCATCACATTACTTTATTACAACTCTCATCGTCGTCAACCGACTCACTGGCAAATCTTGCAACTTTTGTACAAAATTTAAATGCTGATTGATGTTCGGTCACACCCATCTTTACAATCAGTCCCATAATCTCGTCAAAGTTTTTGTCGACCTCATTGCTCAGCTTTAGCTTTTTCGATTGCAACGTTGTCCATTTCTCTCGCTTTTTAGCAAGCTGTGGCAGTTATAGGCATTCTTGAACCTTTTAGTCCAGATGCTGTGATTTCGAATACAGTACTTTCATATGCATTGTTTTTTTCGTGTTATTTCTCTTTTTCCTCTCTACTGGATTATCACAAATTAATATTTCTAGATTTTTTTAGTTAAAAGGTTGTTGAAAATAAATGTAGCCGCTTTATTTTTCTGCGGATGAAAGGTTAGGAATCTTGTTGTCACATGATTTTAAAAAGTTACCTGAATGGTATGCAGGAAATACAGTTTTGGACCGAGCGGTTAAGGGACCCGAGATCGAAAAAGTCATTGGCTTTCTCGATCTCTGAGAGTAGTCAATGTGGATATGTCGGGCTCTGTTCTTCATCAATACGGCCAACAATGGGCTTGCTAAAAAGAGGTTCTCTTGGTGGCCATAGCGCGGAAAGAATTTAAAAAACGCGAATGGAAGTAAGACGCTTTGCAAATAACGTGGAGGTTTGCTATTCGTTAACAATAGCAAACAAGTCTTTCAGTAAACGAAATAACACGATATTATATACTGTTATTATAGCAGAATATTGAAGCGCCGTTAGTTTACATTATATCATTTTTGGAGATACTGTAAATCGTTGTGGATATAGGCTCTTCAATTCTTTATCGATTAGATATATAAACACACGAGAGCCAAAGGATGTTGTAACAATGTCCACCGAAGCTCGTACATCGGTAAAGCTTTGTACTATAGAAAAATATTTTCGACACGAAACAAATTGTAGGAGATTAATTTCAACTTAAAGCGACATTTTAAAAGAATTTATAGATGCTAACTTACTACCATTTACCACTGACCAGATGATTTTACTTCGAAATCGGCAAGTTTACGAAGAAGAAAATAATGACAACGACGATAATGAACAGCAATCACTTAGTCATTAAACACGGTCCTGGAGTCGTTTGTTTGTATACGGCAATCCGACTTGCATGCGATCTGTCGAGGAGGATGCCTCCCGGGAAGACTTTCTATGAGAAACTGGCCCTATTTCCGTGATACCAATGTGAAGAAATCGCGGAAGTCTCCATGTGGCCAGCCTCTTGGAGAAGCGTGAATCCACTACCATTACTAGTGTTCGGTGCTTTTATCTTTTAGGTCACTGCTGGGCCAGTCCTAAAGTAAACAGCTTCAGCAGCAACAACCGAAAATGCCTCAAATACAGAACGGATTATCAGAATACGCACTTTAAGTGGACTACTTCTCTGGATAAAAACTCCATGAAAATAAACAATACAGACAAAGATTGCTGATATATTTTTTTAAACTAAAAGCTATCCTTTTATTCTTACTCCTGTAAATCAAAACGTTTACATTTAACAAAATACGTAATTACGTATATTTTAATGATAGCCAAATTTATTATTTAATTTAGCTTTGTTTTGTCACTTTAGATCTGCACAAGTAAAAGTATTTTTTTATGGCTTAGACAATTTTTTTAAATTAAAGAGAAACAATGTTAGGCCTATAAGTAACTGTTGAAAAATGTTTTAGAAGCTTAACATTACATTTGTGACCAGTGCCTTAACTAGGCAAGTGTAGCGGGTGAACGGGTATTAAAAATTATCAGTATTATATTTTTAATTTAAAATTTTACCGCCGGTTTTACTTAAAGTTAAAAATAACCCACCATTTTTACCGTATTTATTTTATATATATGCTTTTTATTTTCAAAAAAGATGGAGCCAAAACTAAAATCATGCACAAGACACGTGACCGTTAAATTGAGGCTAGAAACTTTTGTCTATAACAATGAAATAATGGATCAATCCATTACAGCATTAATTTTAGGCATTTTTGGTGTTACGGAATAATTTATTCGGTCTCGTAAGGGTTCATTAAATCAAGCTTTGACTATACTACTGTATTATTTGTATTATTCTTGTAACACTATACCTGGCTGGGATACCCTGTATTAATACAAGACTTGACGTTAACATAATGAGATTCGTAATAAATATATAGCAGACACTTCATTACCGAATTTGGGATAAAATACCACACGTTTACGTTAACACAAAATTTATAAGTTTATTCACTGATTGCGTGTTTACGTAATGATAAATAAACTTTACGAAGAAATTAACTTTATATTTTTATTATACAGACAGTTGAAAATTTATAGTCTTTGCTCTACTTCTCTTGTATTTTAAGACTTTCCTATATTAAAAAAGTAATTTATAAAAATGTTAAATTATAATTTATTATTGAAATATTTGAATTTAGTGGTATAAAAGTCATCGATAAAAAGAAAATTTTACTGTTTTTTATTGTTACTTTTTTAAAAATTCCATTATAATTCAGTTATAATTAATCTCAGTTTTTATAACAATATATATAATGAAATTAACTCTAAATGATAAATTTAGAATTAATTTTCTTATAATTTCGATACCTGAATCCATTATTTTATACAGTTTTATAATAGATCTTTACCGACTGAAAATTTTATAATTAATTTTAAAGTTTTCTCAAATGAACAGACGTGAAGATGGACGTTATCTTATGGATAATGTTTGTAGAAGAATTATTCAGCTTTTTTATAGCCATTATCTCTGTATTTATTTTTGTTCCTTATTACTATTTTTTTAATTATTATAACGAGAACTCATTTAGTTATAATTATATCTGATAATTATAACTGATGAACCCGAAAAGCATAATTTTCCCTGTCCAAACGACCACACTTTTATAATTTGCAATGTTTGTCACTGATGATTCATCATCCTTAAATGAAAAGAGCAAGAAAAATTACTTTATTATATTACATTTTTGTATATTTCAAATAAGTTTAACCATTAAAAATTATAATAAGTCATATATTAGTAAAGGTTGTAATAATAAATTCGGGAATTGACCAATTGAGAAGTATTAATCTACAGAATAATATTTATTGTAACAAAATCTTATAACAAAGAGGCAATTTGTAACAACTCTTTCAATTCTGTAAGATTATTATCTATTCTCCTCCTTTGAAATTACTCTGCCAACTTATTTAATAGATATTAATTCCATAGAAATGTTTAACTTAGTGAGAATAATCGAAGCTTCAATTATTCCTAAAATTTATGATTCTGTTTGTAATTTTACTTAATTTATTTACATTTGTTCCCGAGAATTAATTATAAATTTTACAAAGTTTATATACATGAAACTACAGCAAATCCAGAACTTCTAAACAGTTTGTATACAGATTTAATATAACTTATCAGTTTTAAATTCTTTTTTAATTAGCAATTTTAAGAGTTTACTGTATACAATATTGAAATATTGAATTGAATATATAAAGAATAACATAAGCCAATATAACTGTTTGCTGTATCGAACAATTCTGTTGGTCCCTATATCATACTGTATTTTTTCTATAGAAAACTTTCAATATTCTTGATCCAGAAATATATATTCTGCAACTGAGAGGTTAATGTTGTAATAAATAAATTAAAACTGCTTTACTGGTACAAAATAACTAAATCAAACAAATCCCAATGTTATAGTTCATCACCATCGTTGAAAAGACTTGCTGGTTTGATTTGGTTACTTTGCTCCAGTAAAATAGTTTTAAGTTATTTACTCGTTAATCTAAAGTCAAGAGTTGTATATTTCTGGTGATTTCCCGTAGAGAAAGTATTGTCATTCGTGACAATATATTTTCTGTTGAGTGCATATTGTTTTACTTACTTCCAGGCTGTTGTAAACAAATACGGGAAAGTAACGTAATCGTGTCAAATTTGACTATCCGAGTTTTTGGAATCTCGACGTTTCGAGACCAACAGAACCCCCCCAAAAAAAGCCAAAAACAACGGGTAAAAATTCCAGGGATACGTGCATGTGTTGGCATCTATTTCGTTTAATATCTCAGGATGGGGTCGAGATTTAAAAACGAAATTTGGCACGATAACTTGTGTATAAGGGGCATTTATGGTATTAAATTTTGGAGTACATAACTCAAGGGAGTGAAGAGATAGAGAGGGTCGTAGGTCATATCTCGGCTGGGGTAAAACTTAATGAAAATTTTACTCGTATGAGTTTTAAGCTCTTGAAACGATGAAGATTTTCTTACAAATTTTTTTCAAAATGGCGCCCAAAATTTAAAAAATCCAGCTGTCAACTAGTTGCTGGATATTTTTAACAGCAAATTTTATGCTTTTTTTTCTTGTTTTTTTTGACGATGTTTTGTAGATGGAGAAGAACCTGATTCTATTTAATCAATTATAAATGGTTATCACTCTAATTATATAATATTAATAGTAATATAAAAAAGATTAATTTTATTTTACACGATTAAATTTAATTAATATGATTATAATTACTCCTTATTAATATAATATAAATTTTACTTTATTTGGCAGGCGACGGACCAGATAAACGTAAGTAAACTTTATAGAAAATTTTATTATTATTTTTTCTTATATTGTTTATTAATTCTCAAATAATTTTCAATAGAAAACTGCTATAGTCTTTTCGGAGGTATACAAGGTAATATTAATTATTCTTCCATAGACGCAAATTTAATTAAATATTCGAATGAACATAAACAACCGTTAGATTGCGTATGGGAAATACGCGTAACTCCAGGATATCACGTAAGATATATTTCTTCGTTATCTCTTTCCACTTTAATATTATATTTATTTATGGTTAACATCTGTTAAGTTAGATAGCGATCAAGTTCCACCACTTCTCACTTCCCGAACCAAATCATTGTGACGTTAACATGTTCGAAATTTATAACGAATCCCTGAGTAGTAGTGGAATGCAAGGAAAATTCTGTGGCACAAAAGCAGATTCGAAAACTATCGATCGTAATGTGGCCTATGTCCGGTTTTTTGGTTTACCTTGGAAATATTTAAAAAAGTCGAAGAAACAGGGGGTTGAGTTTTTTAGTTTAGTTTATACTGCTCAAAGACCCGTGCAATCAAATGGTAAGTACCTTTTACTAAAAGTTTACTCTAACTTTCGGAATTTGAATGTATCATATTTTTCCATGTATAATGCATCCTTTCTTGTTCAAATTTGTGGTGGAAAAATAAGGAGGATGCACATTATACATGGATAATACTAATTCCGCATCTATATAAATGTTTTTAATTCTTTTATTTATGCTTCTATGTTTAAAAAGTAACACTAGAAATCAATAACGATAGAATGGGATGAAGAGTTTTTGGTTTTCTGTGATGCGTGAATATCGTAAATTTGTTATCGGTACATAAAATTCTTGTACCATAATATGTTAAGAAATAAATGTTAAAATTCATTTATAATACAAAAATCAAACACAGATATAAACAAATAAAAATTTCAATTAAAAAATTAAACAAAGGGGGTTGCGCATTATACATGACAAAATACTCTAGTTTAACAATTAAAAGAAACTTATTTATATGAAATCAATTTTATATGTAATTTATTAAAATATTTTGAAACTGCTATTTATAATTTATTTTTTCGGATAAAATACAATGAAATATCAATTCTTTATTCTGTAACACACTTTTATAAAGTTTATTATTATATGTATTATATATATATAAAAGTATAGATGTATTATACATCTGCCTACGATAGTCATCTGCTATAATCTTAAATTAGGTTAATAAAATACATACATGTAAAGTTATAATAAAAATACATCATATCGTTTAATTAATTTTGACAGTATAAATATTGCTATTGTGGATCGCGACGAGAATTGTTATTCGCACCATAGATGTAGGGCCTCACAATTTTATACAAATCATTATTTAGTGGAGATGAAGGGCCTATTGTATGTTATATCTTAGGGCCACAAATATAAGGCAATTATGATGATTATACAAACATATAAAGTCGATAAATTACTGAAATATTTAAAACTTTGTTTTAAAAAATCTGAAACTTTTTAGAATAATCGTAAAATATGTGTCGAAATTAAAATACAATTTGTAATTGTGTAAAATTTAATATACTGAACAAACTCTGCATTAACTTGACGTTTAATTCAGTTTTTAATTGTATTTATTATTTATAATAGAAAAATTTTCGTCATTTTAGTGGTCGAACCAGAAATGTTAGGTGAAATCTAAAAGAATATTGTATATATTCAATAGATAAACAACGTTCACTACTTTCAATATGGAAAATTAATATTAATTTTCCATATTTTAAATTTTATTATCTTACACTAATGGCATTTTGTTTACCTATTCATTATTTAAAATTTAAAAAAAATATTAATTGCTGTAACATGATTAAACTCTTCAAATTAGTTTTCAAAATTTCACAAAACAAGTAAAGAAAAATCAATAAACTTTCGTAAAATAATAAAATATTATCTCAGTATTCATTATAAGATGGACATTATAAGGTTACTTGTTATTCTGTAAGATTTTAAAAATTGAAAATAAGTGAAATAAAAAGAAACGCGTCATTAATGAAGAAAAATATAAACTTTTCTTGAAATAAGATACATTTTTGTGTCAGTAATTACAGAATAATTCAATGAAATAACGAAAGGTTTTATTTTTGTTGTTGTTTTATACCGAGTCTAACAGGGCTTTTGAATTTAAACATAACAAAGCTTCCAAATCTAGTCTCGGCTAACTCCGTTTTCTAGATTAAAGAAGGACAAACAGACAGACCGACGGACGGACTACAGTAGGAATTTATAGGTCTACAATTTTTCAAGTTGCAGCCCAATTACAACTTCTATCAACTATTTCAACTTCAAGTATTGAACAAGATTCTAAGGAAGAGAAATTCTTCACATTATCTTTCGTACAAATGTATACATATATTTAAGGAATTGCTGTATTGATATACCTAATTTAATTAGTGGTGTCTACAAGTCTCATAATTAACACAGAAGTACGAAAATCAAACTCAATTTTTTAAAAGTTAATATAATTTAACGCGTATTTCTGACAAATTTTATTTTATTATTATGCGTTTTAATTATAATAATTGGGAATTTTTTCAGGAAAAACTTGTGATCCTAGCCTTGAATTCGATTGCGGAGACGGTTTTTGTATACATAGCTCTTTGGTTTGTAACGGAATAACGAATTGTAAATATAAATACGACGAAGAGAATTGCGAAGTAGGTAAGTGGTTTATTTTAATGTTATTAAACTTAAGTTTTGTCATTTTCAATTGTAAACAATCACAAACAATCCCTTCTTCAATATTTTCATTCGACAATTGATAACATTAAGAAATGCGGTTTTAATTTAAAGCTTAAATTAATTTTTAATAAGTTTTGTAACTAATATACAATATTTAATGGGTTGGAAATTTGTAATCTGCTGAGAAATTATACAATATATTGTATACAAATATGCTTTCTGTAAACATTTCTAATTGACGTCAAAACATAAAATTTCTCAAACAAGCTAATCTAAATGAATAAACAGTGAAATATTTCTCATAAATTGCCAAAATTATGAAAGTAATATAATAACATTAACTAAGTTGGTCAATACATCGGTTTTAATTCTTAAAAATTTTATTTGATAAATATTGTGATAATAGCACAGATTTTAGATACCGAAGCCCATTCTATAACGAGGAACCACTTAATTTTAATTCGGGGGAAGAAATATATTTAAATAGCACAAATTTCGACAATATATTTTTATAGAAAGTAAATGAACTTAAAATCTTATTTAAAACTTACACAATTTATTTTGTTTCCAACTGTAGAAATGTAAGATTTCATGTCTCCTTATCATTCTGATTTAATTAGCGTCATCTACGGAACATCTCTCGTTAAATTCATAGATTTTAATTAAGTATATAACTGCTCGTTGCCGTATTCAACTTAGTTAATGTTATTATATTACTGACAATTAAAAATTTATACAATTTAACCTGTAACAGAAAGTGTGTTTTAAACCGTAAACAGTACTGTATATGATAATTATATAATTAACCCGTAATGTCGTAAACAGTTTAACCAGAACATTTTATTTTCTTTCATTTACAAGTCGGATATTTTTTATTTTTGCACGAAAATAAGAAGCTGCGTGATGATCTTATTTATGACACTGGTAAAAAGTTTGTGCCTTTCTTATTCCCTTAGGTTTGTCGCTTGCAAGTGTCCTATCTTCACAACAAATGATCAGTATTTTAATTGTGTTCAGCATTATGATATTAGGAATGTGCATATCCTTATCCATATCTTGTTATACAAAAGTGAAACAGAGACAAGAAAAAGAACGCGAGTACAGAGAAAGACGTTCTAAAGAGGCATCAGTGGAATGTAATCTCGAATCAGGTAACGAGAGAGGTGTCGATCACGTGCAAAATACCGAAATCGGTTCACGCAGGAAAGCCGCCAAATGGTTACAAGACGTAGACGAAGAAAACGGTTGTTATGTGCCAGAAGTGGATTTAAGTGTTTTCCGCAAACAGCCGAACGGTGGTGACACCATTCCCCACACCGAAGAGACATCTTTCGACTCTGGTACTTATCCAGTACCCATCACAGAACCAAAGAGACCTTTCATGCCTCCCTCGTATTCTGAAGTAGGAGAATTGCCTCGCTCCTCTCCTCCTCCTCTACCCCCTCATCGAGGTAGGGACTCATTATATTCACGCTCATCCAAGCCCCTCCCCGATCCTCCCGTTCAAGGACCCTTAAATAGGACGGTACCAGAACCTTCGGTACATAGATCAGCTCAGGAACGTTACGAGCAACCTCCGGGTCACAGAACGGCACCCGAACGTCCCCCTTTTAGTAGGGTAACTCCCGCGCAAAACAGGCCACCACCCACACCCATGCACAGGGCATCCGTCGCTCAAGAAGAGGACGACGACGACGACGACGACGATCGATCTCCTCATCAAATTCGAGCTCAGGCAGTCATCGAAGCAACAAACGACGGATCAAGGGCAAGAAGTTTCGAATCTACGTCATCGGCACCCGACGTCATAGTCAAACGCTGAGGTAACAATGATCCAATGTGGCCACTAGTCGATATCTGTTTAACACACACACATATACACACACATACATACACGGAGCTATTTTTTTGAAGCTCGATCAACACAAATGTTTTTTTTGGAGGAAAAAACATAAAAAGTCCATGTTCATTCTTGCTTGTGTTCTTTAATTTCCTGATTGATCAGCCTGATATTGCTCAAAATATACATTTTAGATGTGAGTAAATTTTTTTTTTTTTGGAGAGAAACGCTGTGAATCGAAGTCTTGATGAACCATACACATCATCCACCTTTTTTTGTCTCTGGATCATCATAGAAAATTTAGTACGCACATGTTTAATAGATAAAACTTCAGCGAAGAAGAAGAATTAAAAAAAAATTGTCATTTTCTACTTATTATATTGAAGGACTCCCGTTATACATTTTAGGAATTAATTTTTTGGAATGTCCAGTATTGTTTTTTTGTGTGATACACGGAAAAAAGAATAGGAAAAAAAAGATGTATTGTTTGTTGTATATATACATATACATATATTATTTTTTCCTCGTTTAATTTTTGAGTCCCAGTTAACGTCCCTAAGATGTCTTCAAAATGAAATCTGCCTTATTAAAGTGAATGATATGTCATGTTCGGATGTTGGATAATGTGGTTTGTTTTACAACAGTAAGTTTATATGGTATTCCCAGAATGATCAATATACATCGTGTTTCAAGGATATTAGAATTGTTATAGATAAAAAGATTTTTTAATATTTTCTGTATTCGTTTGTTTTATTTCTGCAATATCTTTTCATTCGTCACAATGTTCGTTTGCATCCCACAATCTGAATCCGGGATGCGGAGGATCCGGGATCGAATTCCGACCGGATGATTTGAAATCTTTATGGACTGATTTAACTCGTATATATCGGGCCTCGTTCTGTTGTAGATCTGGAAAACGTGTTTGGCGTGAAGAAAAGGCCTTTTAGTGCTGTCAGGGGTGGCCAAATCTTATCACGATAAGAACCATACCGCGTATCAGAAATACGTGAGAGTCGTATCCTATATTGGAACCTATATATAACGTATAATGTGTGCGTGTATATAGGGTAATAACACCCAAGTCCGATCCGCCTACCCCTAAGTAATAAGGGGTAGAGGTCTGATATACAAGAGGCTCAATAAGGATCTAGAGGAACCAGTTTGGTCACCATGGGAATAAATCGTAAAGTTTCTGACGAAATAACTTAGTTTTAAACAGTTAAAATAAAATTTAAATATAAGAATTCATGTTCGATTTAAATAATACGTCGAAAAACCAAAATAATTTGACGAAATTTATAATTTTTGACAGCATACTTCGAAGAAAATAATGCAATTAGTACTCGAATTTGTATAAAGTAGACATTTGTCCTACATACCATTCAACGTTTGTTTTTCTCATAACCTTTTGGTTTTTTTCTCTTCATTCCTAAAACTTTTTGTCCTTGTATAACTTGGCATAAATATACTTACAAGAATTCTAGACGTGGTTCTCTTCTGAATATAGACATACCAATTTGCTGCCAGACGGGTTCATAACAAAACTTATGAACCCTTCTAAACTAGTAAAAAACAAATTTTTACATTTTTTTAACGTTTAAATTCGCATATTTGTATTGTTATCAATATTATTATTATTTAAATTAATTTTTGAATATATTTAACGAGGATAAAACTTCTAAACTTAATAAGAATATTCTTGGTAACAAAATTTAATCGGATTATCCTTAATCGAATCCTTACGCTTTGTATATTTACGAATAAAGAAAAGAATAGGAATTAATTGGATAAGATGACAATTATCGGGATGTTTAGTGAAATTGAATAAATTTATTTAATTGATCAAGAAACGATCGAGTCATTTAATGAATTTACGATCTCTCTCTCTCCCCTTAAAACGTTATAAATTAATAAGACGTTGCTTCTTTACAAAAAAAAAATCATATTAAATAAATTTGTGGTAAGTCAGTTAGTATCAAATTACGCAAGTTGTACTTCAAATTATTTTAATTGTGCAATTAAACAGCAGCGAGCTCTGTCGTTTACGAATCTTTAGGGAAAAGCACAGTTTAGGATAGAATTATCGTCTTATATCAACGTTAAATGGGGATGGAGATTACTTTCCCCGCTGTAATTTTCTTAAGTAGAAAGGAAGAAAAAAATTATTTAGGGATATTTGATATTATTTCTCTCTTTTCCTTAAATTAATCTCATTAAGGAAATCTTGTTTTAAAGTTAAATTTATCGATTATATAAAGAAACTTTTACAAATTATTAACGATGTTAAATATATTTATTAACTCAATGTTAAATATAGAAAAAGAAAATAGAAGATGCAGCTATGCTGTATCCTCTCGGGAATTGAAACTGATTTTTCTTTTTATAAAACTACCGAATCTTTTTATATCCCCGAGGACATATTTATTTATCTGCAACTACATTGATTCGATAGCATTTCTTTAACAACTTTTTTTTTCTTATTTTGATCAATTGGCATTTAATCTTGATACTAGAAAATAGCAACTACATAAAAGTTCTATAACCTGAAAGTTTTCACAAGGAGAATTTGAATTTCTTAGAATGAAATTTGAATAAAGTAGATAGAAGAGTACGAAGTCAAACGTTGGCTCACTTTTATATCAGGACTTTGATAAAAGACTAAATTTGTGGTTCAAAACACACAGAGGTTCCAATATTTAGTCTTTTATGTAAGAAACGATATGTGAAAGTGATAAAGTTTTTGATAAGTGAAAAAATCTGATTTTTGTTTGTTTATTCATATATTTTTATAGTTCTTTGGGGGAGGATTGGCTCCATATTTGCGAATTGATTCGATCCTATCTTATCCTTCTCAGACCTGTGTCAATAAAATTTGTAGTAAAAACAATAGTCGGGGCCGTAGGGAGGGATGAAGCATCCTGGAGCTAAGGATTTTCGGACCCCTCTATACCTTCTTCTAATGTAACTCTGTCAATTTACCAATCTTTATGCATTTCATTGCATAAATTGGTTTTCTAGTAATTGAAATTTTATACTATAACTTAAACCCAGAATAGTCATGACTCTTTCTCCCTTTTGTTGTCCCTGATATTCAGTGCGTAGTAATATAAGTACAGAAATCTAGAAACTTAACAATTATAAATTCCGTACCTAAAAATTATGTATGTTGTACGTATTAAAATACGTGTTTTTTGTATTTAGATACACATTTTATCACCGCATACTTCTACTACACAACACAATATTTTAACGATTTTCGTGTGACTTCCACACAATATAACAGGAGTTGAGAGAAGTAAGATAACCCCCAGTCACACATATGCGGGATCTCACCTGGAAGTCATAAAATATAGCCTATATACAATCAAACCTTTGAACAACAACCACTGACGGAAACATAAAATATGGTCGTTGTTGGGAGGTGGCCATTATTGGTGGTCCGACTGAATAAAGCAAATAAAACCCAAATTTTTCGCTACTTATCAAAATAAACTTTAATTTGTAACAATTCCATGTCGTGTCTTCTTATATAAAAAGTAAAAACTAAATTTTTAAGTGTCCTCGTTAGGCTCATACTAAATGCTTTTGTTGGTTTCCCTCTAGCTGGGCATTTAACTTTATTTCATTACTATCAATAGTATCGTAAAAAATACATAATTATTATCATCTTGTAGTTTAATAGTAAATTCTCTTATTATTGTACGTTTTTTCTATAATGAACAACAATTATTTTGGTTAAAGATGCGAGAGATATACACGTTTCTTCTCGTTAGGCGAGCGAAAATTACATGCAAGAAAGAAAAAATTAAAAATTAACACAACAAAAAAGGAGCTATACAAATTCAATATCGCGTATTAATTTTCAGAGGTAAGTCAATTTACAAAACTTACAACCGACACGAAATGTTAGCAAATTTATCGCGCCATCTGTCGATACTTACACTATCTTCTTCACTCCCTATAACAACAAAGTTGACAGCTTCTAATTATCTATCACCTTTTAATTATTATCGAACGTAAACTTTTTTTCGATTCACCATTTAGGATCTACAACAACAGGAAATTATAATCACTTTCGGAAACACAAGTGACAGAAAGTAAATTTACACAGGAAATTTTGTTATCTTTCTTACAATATAGCTTATTTATTACTTTACTAGATGTAATTATAATAAGTAAAGAGGTGACGAGTTTCTTTGTAATTTTTCTTTCCAAAGAAATGATTTCGATCGTCCCCAAGGACGTAACAAACCTCAATCCGCTGTTAGTGATAAGGAAAAGTAATCTTTCGAACAAGGATGTAAGTCCAAGTTGAATGGATGAATAGCATCCTTTTGTCAAACGTTCTGTAATTAAAGTAGTGAAATTTTATTTGTTTTCCTTACATTATTCTAACATCACTTAATCAATTAAAAGGTAGAATATAAAGTCAATGCTTCGATGCTGCGAAGAAGTCAAAAATAGGTTTTTTGTTTATTTATTCTGTTTGAAATTAATAGTAACGGTCAGGCCCTACGAGGGGGTAAAACCGGGGCCTACGAGCTTTACAGGGAGCCATCAGTTGGGAAAAAAGTTAAATAATTATCCGTTTTCTGATTTTTTTCCAAGTAATGAAATAACTTTAGTCATGGGCTAACTAACATTTATATTGGCTTATTTTTCTAATTCAATATCATTGTTATTCCTTATTTTTTAAACGGGGTCTCCGAAAGGAGAGCCCCAAAATAGTCTTTGCGCCGACAGCTGACCATTATGTTGAATAAATTATGCATTACTAGTTTGTATTTTTATTAAAATAGAAGCCGAAAAAGTGCATTTTCTGTTGTTTTGAGTGGAATAAGTTATATCATTTAAGAAATACAAAATCCCTAGGCATGCTAGTTAGAAATTATCTGTATGCTTGCTCCATTCTCACAAATTTTCCACATCTTCCCTGTTGACGATTGATTATTAAAGCAGTCTTTCGATAATAAGTATCAGGAGACTGTCTTAATAATCAATAATCAATTATGAGACTGCTAAGAACAATAATTGTTCTTAGGTCTTTGACTAATAAGGCGGAGTGTTGAAGATTTTCTCCCACAGTATTTCCACATGTTAATTCTGGACTTGGAAGATACCACACCAGTTCCCGTTCAATCCGTTCTCCATCGACTTTATCAAAATATTTTATAACTAGAAGATACGGGGTACAAGTCGTAAATAAGAGCTTTGTGGCCATCAATATAGGAAAAGGAACCGATAACATAACAATAAAATAATTATCGTGTAATAACACTTGGAAGATCTGCCAAGGAGATGTGCCTTCCGGGAAACTTTCTATGGGAAAACTAGCCTCTAAGTGTTAGATACGTAAAGAAACATCTAAGGCTGAAACTTGACGAAACTTAGGTCGAACGAGCCTAAAAGTGAAATACGATGCAATACCGAGATGAGGAAAAAACAATATGCCTCATTCATTAAAAATTTTGTTATTCGATGGAAATTTAATAAATATTCATACGGTAGCCTTTTACGATATAGTGTATATTGATCGTTAGAGTGTCATTTACGTGTTCGGTGTGTTGTTCGTATTTCATTTTTTGATGTTTTTAAATTATCTTTTATAATATATTATGGTAAACGTGTCGAAATTAATTCGTAGAAGAAACGGGGATGGCAAATTTAAGTATCTTATGTAACCCGTGTAATCCGGTTTCGGCTAAAGACGTCTTCCCGAAAAAAAATGAGAATTGCACACCCGGACGCAGTCGCGTCTAATCTAATATCCATGTTTAGTTATATGAAGAACGAGTAGAAACGTACGTATAATAAGCTTAACGTATACAATATATTTTATTTGTTTTTCCTTAATTGAAATGTCGCAAAAATAGGAAGAGTTTGCAGTGACGCGTCCTCCTATGAGCAGAAAGGGCAATTTCCTGGGGTCCTCACTAACAGGGAGTCCAAACCAATCTTCTATAAGAAAATATTTCACCAAAAATTTCACCCGAAGAAAAATTTCTGAAGTCAGCACTGTCCTTGGGACCATCTAATTCAAATTTGCTTGGGCCCCAAGAAGCTATAACGCGCTACTAAGTTTTTGATTTGGTTTGGCTTGGTCTGTTATCGCTATTTACTTTAATTCTAATCTATCCAAGCCGGAATTACACAGCGAATGCATCCAATTTTAACCAGTTATCCGTAATTGGCAAAACGCGGATCCTGTAATGAATTACGGATGAGCCAAACTCTATTGTGTTTAGTAGTACGTTATCCCTTTTCTGTTTTTCTCTTAATTTGTTTCGTAAATAGCATTCCCAAAAAAACATACCCCTTTTTTCAAACATAAATCCCTAAACGACACCCGTTCTTAATATTTTTTGTAGCGTCAAATCAACGTCAATTTTGCGATGGGTCAGTGGTTTTGGCCACGAGACCAATTGTTAACGCACAAGTTTTGAAAATTGAGAATACACATTCTAAGGATTTTAACTCTCCGCCGTTTGATGTGCATGAAAAAGAAGACCTTCTTTCTGCTTTACGGGCCTTTATTCGTGTTTATAGTGGGTTCGGCCAGGCATACAACCGAGACGATCGAATGTTGAGGTGTAATGACTAAAATGTCCATGAAAATTTCGAAATAGACATGAACTCGAACCCGTAATCTCCAGGGCATCCTTACTAGGATTAAAAATGTAAATTCGTAACACTTGTATATTCTTATTGTTATAATAATAATAATAAAAACTACAAAAATAAAAATTAATTTTTCTAGTTACACATAATTTAGGTTGCAGAAAAAATTAATGCGCATTTGTTTTTCTGGTCTGCTTATACAATAAGTTATAGGCCAATTAATAAACATTCCACTTAAAAAAAATCCATATTTTTACGAATTTTATGATCAATTTAGATTAGTCTATAAAATGTTATTTGCACATCACAAAAATAATAAAAAAATCCACGCAAGATAAAAACTAAAACAACATAAATTATTTTTAATTAATTTTAGACTTTAATTTTAGAAAATTTCGAATATTTATCACGTATTAACCACGTATTTATGCTTCTACGTAGTGTTGTTCGGTCGTATTTTACAGAAATATTGTCAAAAGTTAGAAAATTTCTCTCGTATGACGAAAGACAGTAATTGTTAGTTGAGTCATCTGCAACAAAACAAAGTGCAAGAAACGATAAAATAAATTACCATTAGTAGCTGTTTATAAATGACGTCAGTACTGGAAGGTGTTTTCATTTTTAAACATTAGCAAATCAATAATATATTGTAATATCGGCCTGCTAATCTTTAAAAAGTTGGTATACCACATGGTGGCGAAATCTCTATAGGTTGACCCTAATCGTAAGAAATTTGGGTATGTTTAATTCCTGGATGGTATGAAGTTTGCGGGTTTTCGATTACTTCCTTATTTCGGGTTAATATCTTACATGCAAATAAAATACACGAGCCATTATTTATTGTGACATCATCACAATGCCAGGCTGCAATTTTAAATCATATTTTTCATTTATTTAATTTAAAATATGTGCTCTCTACCTCAAATTAATACTATAGTGTCTTGCTCCTGTACATCGTATTTTTCCGTTAGCAATGGAGTCATTCCAGTCATCTAACACCATTCAGAAGAAAATTTTTGAATCGAAATAACGTAATTTCCGGTTTGCATCGGACGTTCTTATATATTAATAGTTAATCGGGACCTCCTGCTTCTAAGTTTTCCTGATCTTGAATTTCATTTTCTAACACCGTTCTCGAGATTAAGGAATGGCAGTCAGCGGACTAACGAACGACAGTGGGCAATTATAGGTCTACAATGTTTACTTTCCCAGCTGTTATAACAGAGGAAAAGTATGGCGATCCGGCAAAAAATGACCGCCCCAGATTTTTACATTTTTGGACTTAAAACACCTTAAAACATCGAAAAATGCAAAAAGAAAATTCGGAGGTAATTTCTGTATGTGGCACGATTTTGTTCATCCTTATAAGAGCAATTTGGACGTAATTCCATCGTTTCCTCTTACGGTATCTGTAGTTCATAAAGTGTTAGTTAAATAATTAGATATTTATTCATTATATATTTTATTCATCAATAATTAAACAAATAACATTATACTATTCACTAGTCTATTCAATGCAGTACGAATTTGGCGTTAGCCTTGGCCTGGCATCGGAATTTTGTAGTGAAGGGGGCGATACTACGTAACGGTTTTATTGAAGGGGACGACGATTCATTAGAGGTTGAGAAACACTAACTAGTAAGTTACAGCAACGCAATACTTGGGCGATCTGCTTAGGGGGATGCCTTCCGGGAGGTCTTTTTAAGGGAAACTGGCCGCTATTCAGATGTTACAGACGTGGAGAAAACCCGGAAAACTCCACGTGGCCAGCCCGTCCGAGCGAGGCGCGAACCCACGACCGAACTCCCAGCGTTCAGGGTACGAAGACCGCTTGGCCACTGGTGGGCCCACACTGGAAGAGGAGGGGATTATGGCAAGTGAGACAAGGGAAAGGGGGTTGAACTTCAATGGACGGCTGTTTATTTCTTTAAATTTTATACAGTTTATATATTTTATTATTCATAAAGTGGTAAAGATTTTGAGGTGGATTGTTTTGTTGGACGTTCGAAGAGGAGAGGGGCATACGGAAACTTGGACAATGGGAGAAGGGGGAGTAAAAATTTCAAGAAAAATGCGGACGAAATTTATGGACAGCCCCGAAAGTATTGTGCATTTAAGGAAAACACATGGTTTCAGTAATCGTAGGCAAAATTTAATAAGTTTTTTTCTCATTTCAAAAACAGAACGCTATTGTTGCTGCGCGTTTGAATGACGTTTTTCCTAATGGACAGAATGGGAAAGATGTACAGTACTTAATTCGGTTTCCAATCCGCTCTGTTTCCGTAACTAGGCAACAGATATACAGACACAAAACCGGTTTTGGACTCAGCCGCCTGAGTGCTAGATATATGGCCGCCCCTATCAATGCTGATCGCGAGTAAATTCATAACCCAACCCATGTGAGTCTACTGGTGTTTCAGGATAGTTTCATATAGTTGACAGGAGTAAAAAAATCTATTAAAATATTTGATAAAAGTTATATTTATTTTCATTTTATTCAAGCTGCCCTGTGGATAAAATGTGCCTTAGTTCAAAATTATATTTCAGTGCTGCCATAAAATAAGAATTTCTTTAAATTAAATCCTATTTAGTATATAAATAAATATATAATTACGTACGTGTGTATAAAAATTAATTTAAATATGAAATATTTAAATTAATAACTTTCGTGCGCATCTCTCTATTTAATTTTCTCTTGATTCCATCAACAATTAAAACAATGGTGTACGTAATGCTTTAAGATTAACGGTATGGCAATAGAGGTTCACTCACAACGAAAATTAATAAGCATAAACGTACAAACCTTGTATCTATGTTATTTAATTAATGCAACCATTCATAATGAGTTACGTATGAATATGCTGTATATCAGGGATGGCCAACACGTAGACCGCGGTCAACCACAAAGGTTTTGAAAGTAGCCCACGAAGCTAAAGTTGAACAATTTGCTTTCACTTAAATGAATGTTTAAAAATCTTAATTTATTCTTACAATAATAGACTGTGCAACGTACCCATACTGTTTGTATTTATCCCGATAAACAATGCAAATGAATGTTAATGTTAACGCATGAGCATATAAAAATCCTAAAATTGTTTGTCCATATTCATAGTCGCCCGCAGACTATATTTTACCAAAAAAGTAGCCCCTAAGGAATAAAAGTTTGGCCACACCTGCTGTATATTGTTCTTGAATATTTCTTTGCCAGTTCAAGCCTCAGAGCTTACGTTCAATTTGTTTTGGCTTGAGCTTGTACTCAAGTGGACCAAATAAATGATACATTGATATGCATCCGATTCGTGTAAATCCGAAAAGTTCCGATATTATGTCAGGATCGGTTGCTGGTGCCGATTGAAAAAACAAAGAAGGAATAATAATAAATCTGTAGATTTCTAATAATTGTAATAAGCGAAACTTATCAACGATATCAATAATGGTACGGTAACATTACGAACAAGTCCAAATGCATTTTAATCAAATACTATGGCGTTCATTTATTGATAAACAATTTTATTTATTTAATAGTACAAGGTGCTAGGATTATTAAAGTATAACAATTCTATAGATATATGATCAAAGGGTAACATGATGAAAGTATGACTCCGTTTCCTCTTAACATTCTCACCTCAAGATCTTTATACAAATATAAAATTTCCAGCAATTTGATTTCGGAATTATCAAAACAATAAAAATGAAATTTTAAGGTAGGAGAAAAGAAAATTTGAGGGAAGGACAAAACAACAGATATTGGTCCTTTGTTAAGTTGCAATGCTTCTCCGCTTAATGCGCTATTATAAAGCGTTGGAAATTAAATAACGTATCTTCACCCACGTGGAAAGTTTCATCTGTCTGTTGTTTTATATTGTCTAAACCGAATTTTCCTTTCTGCAATGAGTCCGACTCGGTGGAGGAACGAGGCTAGTCGAGAAGCTACTCGTAAAGGCTACAAGTAATGTAACGCTACTCTCTGTTTTATTTATTATAAGGGAGAAGGTTTGGTTTTATTCTTTGAATCAAAATTTATCAAACGTAATAAATTATGGGGGACTGGGAATGTCGCGATTTACCCCGGATGAGACATTCACTCGTGTTTTATTTTCGGTCTCAGATCACGCAGTTTGGGATAGTCTACAAACTCCGTGCGGGACACCAATACGAACGTCAGAACCACCACGACCATGGCTGCCCAGAATACCATACACACCAGCGTTGCGATTGGATGACCTGAAATGAACAGTTGCCACTAGTCAATTTTCTCATACTTTATGGTAAAACATAGAAAATGAGTATGTAATCTTATTATTAAAAATTAATTTGCATTCAAATAAAAGTATATTCTTGTAGGGGTATGACAAAAAACAAAATTCTGAGGACAGGGCTTTGGAGAGGGAAGGGGCGGCTAAAGATTTTTCTCTGAGCCTGGAGAAAACTTGCAAACTAAAAAAAGGGGGTCACTTTAGACTGTACCATTTAATTTTCCTGAAGTCTGCTTCTTTGAGTTAGCAGTCTGCTTCTACTCAAAGATTTCATGCCAGCAAGACCAATGTAAATTTATGACATTAGCTAACTTATTTGTTGACCAAATAGTATTGACTTTGTAAAATCAAAAAGTCATTGATTTTACAAAGTTTATTATTACTATTATTTATATTAAAATAAATAATTTTTAATTACATGTATTTATACAAATATGTTAGTTTAAAATAAGTAAATTATTACCTGCAGGTATAAAAAATGAAAGAACAAACATGGCTAATGCAAATAGTATAATGACTGGATACTAGAAAATAAAATAAACAATTTAGCAATTATAATAATACATCATCGTCAATTAAATTGATTATGCAAATATATTGAAGCTACTTTAGTTGAAAATTTTAATTTGCATGCATCGAAAACATGCCATGAAATTTAGCTTAGGTACTGTACCTAGAATCACGCGCCAATCAAAATCTAGATTAGTTCAGATCTCAATCATCAAATTCTTATTGATTTTAATAAGAAACTCAACTGTGATCATGTCATTTCACAGAACAAGTGTTAAAATTATTTATTGTTAGTACAATCAAATAAAAAAGCCAAATCAAAAGTTCAGTCAGGTCCAATATATTTTGTCCATTAGTAATTTTAAAAGTAGACAAATACTAACATTTCTTACAATTATATTCTTAAGTTCTTTCTTCTCCATCAAAGGACATATTTTACCAACTCCTTCATTTTCATCCACTTGATAATTCCCCAAGAATAAATCAACTGAATCCTATAACAGAAAAATAATAATAAAATAGTTTTATTATAAAATTTGTTTTATGATTATGTTATCAAACCAAATAAATAATCTGATATAATTAATTTCTAAATATCACTTATGGTAGCTGTTATTATGTTCTATGAATGTACGTCTCTTAATCTGAATGACTATTAAGTTCGGTAGACTATCATTACAGCTTTCAGGTTAGACACTTCTTTTATTGTTTTCTCATATGCATTTCAGGCTTATTTAAATGCTAAGCCCCTCTTCAGTGCAATACTACAAATTATTAGAAAAACAACAATTAGTAACATGATAAAATTTCTCACTTGTAGGTCATATTTACTGACATAAAACTATCATACTTAAAATTGTCACACTTATACGGTACATATGGTTCTGTTTTCTAAAACCAAGGTGTATATCGGATAACGTTGGAAAGATTTTTCAATACAGCCATTACAAACACCAAAAATACACTTTTAAAACATTCATAAGGTAACTGTAATATATTAATATTTTTATAATTTTTTTTTCCACTTGCACACACTATCATATTGTACCACTGCTGGTCAATAACCAACAGTGGCACAATATGATAGTGTGTGCAAGTGAAAAAAGTGATTTTGATGTATTTGTCATACACAGTGTTGTATTAGTAAATGAATGGAAATATATTGTGAAACTACTGTATGTATGCATTCTGTTAAAAAAAATTTTTTTTAATACTGTATTACTATACTGCATGTAAATAACCTGTAAAACAGTTATTATAATAACAGTTACTCCAATGTTATGTTGTAGAAAATACACATTCTTTAAAAGATGTACTTATATAAGATTTTACGAGCATCTGTTGAAAAATATAAAAGTAGGTATGTATTGTATTGTTATTTTATTAGAATATGTGATGTTATTAATAAAAAAAAATTATAAAAATATTAATATATTACAGTTACCTTATGAATGTTTTAAAAGTGTATTTTTGGTGTTTGTAATGGCTGTATTGAAAAATCTTTCCAACGTTATCCGATATACACCGTGGTTTTAGAAAACAGAACCATATGTACCGTATAAGGGTGACAATTTTAAGTATGATAGTTTTATGTCAGTAAATATGACCTACAAGTGAGAAATTTTGTCATGTTACTAATTGTTGTTTTTCTAATAATTTGTAGTATTGCACTGAAGAGGGGCTTAGCATTTAAATAAGCCTGAAATGCATATGAGAAAACAATAAAAGAAGTGTCTAACCTGAAAGCTGTAATGATAGTCTACCGAACTTAATAGTCATTTGGATTAAAGAGACATACATTCATAATAATTAATTTCCATAAATATCTTTCAGTCTATTTTCCTCATGTATATTGTGGCATCTGTAGTCAAATTTTGACTGCAGACATCACAATTTAAAGAAATGTTTTTACAGTAGACCTGCCTTATAATCCCACTTTTAAAACTGTTATGAGAAAATTTCTTTTATGCCTGTACAAGATATCTAAATGCCATACAGTTTTTTGTTGTTGGTGTCTGTGCACTGTTAAACGGAGTTTTTCATAAGTCACGATCCATAAGAGATTGTGCAGAGAAGCATTGGGGCAAGTGTAGACTGTATTGGTTAAATGATGCATAATTTTGGGTCTGCAATACTGCCAAATGGAAATTAAGTGAACAAAATTCAAATGCATGGTCAGATCACTTTCAACTAATGTAGGCCCAATTTGCATAGTTCTGTAACTCACATCTAGGTAAGCTATGAGGATTGAACCAATTCTATTTAATATGTGAAACATTGCTAGTTCCTTAATGTTATTTCTAATTTTATTTAGATAAAATTATATTATTAAAAAAAATTAAGAAACCAATGTTTTTTTTTTAATACTTGATATGTGGATGATAGCAACAACACAGCGCAAGTTCAATCCTTACAAGTAAGCTTATATTAGTTGAAAGTGATTTGAGCATGCATATGAATTTTGTGCACTTGATTTCCATTTGGCAGTATTGCAGATCCAAAATTATGCATCATTTAACCAATACACTGTACACTTGCCCTCAATGCTTCTCTGCACAATCTCCTGTGATGCATGACTTATGCAAAAACAATGTTAGTTTCAGTGATAGTCTATTCCTGGAAAAATACAATGCATTATGACATTATGCTCACAAAAATGCAGTGAGCCATTATAATGTTCTTGTCACATAAATAATCCCATTTTTGTGTCGTAATTTGTATGTCTTCAAAAATTAATAATTATATCATCTGAAATTACAAATGGGCTTAATATTTTATTAAATACTTTTATTTTAGCCTTTCATGAATCACAATGTATCAAACAAACAGAAAAAAAAAGGAAAGAAATAAAAAGAAAAAGGTGTCAGATCACTGTACTTTGTACTGCTGTCTGCAGTACAAAGTAAGCAATTCTTAATATATATTGATACAAAATAAAAGTGTAGATAAAAGTATTAAAATTTTAATTATAAGATGATAATCACAAAAGAAACATTGTTTATTAGGAATTATATGCATCCCATCACATCATACAGAATTATTCCATACTAGCAGACCCTGCCAAGCGTTGTTGTGGCTCAAAATGTATCTATTATAAATTTATAACACTTCCCCTGTGGGGGGAATTTTCCGAAAAATTTCTTCTTAGTATACATTGTGTTGACATACCCTATTAAAACGCAATCAAAAACGCAAAAATCCGCATCTAAAATAGTATAAATAGAACCAGAGTTCTTTACCGTAAGCCTTAATCCTAACCATCTCCCTTCAGTGGGGTTGAATTTTGACATGTATATTATATAAAAACATGTGCGTATTCAAATGCAGCGTTGTGTCAAAATTTCAAAGGAATCGGTAGGAACAAGCGAACATTACATTTTTATTTATATAAATAGGAAGATGATCTGCTTTAGTTCATTTTCACAGAAAAGCATAATGCCTCACAGAAAAGCAAACTTAGGACATAGTACTCATAGCGCCATCTGTTGGACATAAAAGCCTTAACCTAGATTATATCTTTTAATTTATATGATTATTTAACGGAATAATATACAGCCTATGTCCACCCTGAAGTTCCATTCTAAATATTGGTGAAAGAATTTTTGAAATCGGATGAGTAGTTTCGGAGATTACCTGCTGCATACAAACTTACATACAAACATTACCTCTTTATAATATTAGTATAGATTTTAAAAATGTATCATACTGTCTTAAAAAAAATTTCCTTATGATTACTTATTATGGCATTATGTTAATTTAAAATATGGCAATATGGTATTTTAAATGAGCATAATACTATGTTAAGCGTAAGGAATAATTTTTAAATACATTTCAAAATTTTAGAGAAAGTTAGAGTAAGAATCACCTATCTTATTGATGATAATTAATCCAAGTAATGATAATTAACATTTTATGAATTTAATTTGTGTCTGATTATTCAAATTTTTGTTTTTCAAAATCCTCCTTACTTTGGAATTTTTAAATACAACAAATTGGATGTTATAAAGAGAATGTTCTGTTAGTGCTTCCACAATTCTCTGGAGAATTTATTGCATAATAATAATAATAATATACATTTTTTTGCAAATTTGTATTTTAGTAAAAATTAATATCTTACTTATATTTGTAATTGCATATCTGGTACACATGAATAAGACAAAAAAAAAAATCAACTAAAAATTACATTAGATATCTGTCAGACATACTTCTGGAAGAAAAATTAAGATTTGAAGAATTTAATTTATAAAATTATTAACATCATTCGTTAATGTCTAAAATAGAATAAGTTGCCAAGACGCACGTACCTGCCGAAATCCATCCGCAAAATTGTTTTTGTAGTAACGAATCATTGAATTCAGTCCGTCCTTCATGGCTCCAAAAACTGTTCTTTTCCCCGTTCTTTGGAATTAAGAGCACAAATAAAGTAATCTATATTTCAATATTTTCTTATTGAATATTTTTTTGTGTAAGAAATGTAAACAGAAATAATACTCAAAGACAATTTCTTAACCTGGTGTAATCTGTTTTCAAAGCACCCGTTCCTGCATACTGTACACTACAGATGTCGGCATTATCTGCCCAAACTGCAAACAAAAAACACATTTATAAGTATGCTAAAGACAATAACAGATTATTATTGATATAAAATTGTCATCATTATTCAAAATATCTCAAATTTTAAATTTATATATAAAACTCATTAAACTAATTACTACATAATTTCAAAAATACAGGAGTTGTAATTACCATTTTTATACATTGTTTCAAAATGACTCTGACTTTCAATTCTTTGACCATCTGTTAGAATTCCTAACCTCTGTTTTTGTATTTAAGAGGAAAAAACGGATTAGTCAATGTTTCAACTGTTTATTATTCTTTTTATTTTACCTTTAAAAACAGCATCTAATTTTATCACCAGAATATAAACTAGAATGGAAATATACACAATTTATTTTGTATCACTGAAAAGAAAGAAAAAAAACATATTTCACTTTTTTGCTTTTAATTTTCATTCAATCACTAAACTATGTATATTTCCATATTAATACATCTGATTACAATGAGTGGATAAGAAAATTTCATAATGTAAAATAAATGTTCTTTTTTTTATTTATGAATTGAAAATAAATATATAAATAGTCAATGAATTTAAGCATTTCACCTTTTCCTCTCTCCAACAACTTAAAACCATCTTACTTATAACAATACAGTAGAACTCTGATTAATCAAATGTCCAGTTATCCAAATCACCACTTGCTTTCCTTTCTCTCTCCCACTGACATCACAATGCAATTCTCCTGTCATGTGATTGCATGATCAGTGACATCTATTTGTTGTGACAGATCCAAATGATCAGTGGTATGCTACTCACACATTGATGAATAAATAAATACAGTACAGTGCAATACTGTGCCATTACTCACAATGTATCAAACAAACAGAAAAAAAAAGGAAAGAAATAAAAAGAAAAAGGTGTCAGATCACTGTACTTTGTACTGCTGTCTGCAGTACAAAGTAAGCAATTCTTAATATATATTGATACAAAATAAAAGTGTAGATAAAAGTATTAAAATTTTAATTATAAGATGATAATCACAAAAGAAACATTGTTTATTAGGAATTATATGCATCCCATCNATATAATATATCTATTAACCATAACTATCTCGTTATAATTTTCAATATTTATTTTATATTATGTTAGTTAAATTCTATTCTGTTTCGATTTCCAAATTGCTTCAAATACAAAAGAATCAACGATTTTTCATGTCTTTTGCCAGCTAAATTGTCAAAGCCATTCTTATTCCACACACTAATTTCATTTGAAAATAATAGGCAAGGCCAACAAAACAATTTTTGTATTTTTATTCATTTACAGAGCCATTTTATCATGAAAATGTCGAACAAATTTTTTTATTGAAGTTTTAGGCATTGGCCTTTCTTTTTTAATAATATTTTCTTTTTCATTATATGATCTCAAGCCAAAACTTTTTTAAAATAAATTTTCAATATTGCAATAACATTCTGAATCGCTAGCCATGATATAAGGGATAAAATTAAAAATAAAATTATAAAAACTTACTTGGTGAAATAAAATGTGTGGTGGATATACATACCTGGTACAAAACATTCTTCAATTGTATGAATATATTTTTAAAGAAAATTATAATTAAATACAGCTTTGTAATGAAACGTACATATAAATAACATAAAATATTCTTTACTCTTTAAATCTTAACCACTTAGTCAAATAGCTCCCTACGAGCGGAATCAGAGACGGTCCTGCTAGGTGTGCGGTGTGTACATGCACGCGGGCTGCCAAATCC